ACCAGTTGCCGGTCGGAGAGCAGGAAGCCCCGCCGTTGCTCGATCTAGGCCTTGGAGGTGAGCATTTTAGCTTGTCTGTGGTACTTCCATTTCTAGAATTTTTTGGCGTTCTTCAAAATCAATATTTGGTGATTTTATTAAAATTTTGAGTTTATTCTCATATTTACAATAATCTTTACCATGCCTGTTGTAATACGGGCTGTTTGAGGTGTTGTATGTTTTGTCGATTAAATTATGAAATGGTGTTTTAAGATGATCCTCCGATCGTATCGACCCCGTCAGGAAAACTGATGGAGTTGAGATGCGTGTTAGCCGTGATCCGTCACGGGGATCGTACTCCAAAGCAAAAAATGAAGGCATGATTTGTATTCATAGTTGTCATTTTTCATGAGCTAATAACATGTCTGGCAGTTTACTGCACCGATTTTATACCACAAATTCTTGAATGATCAAATATTTACCACTAGTCAGTGAACAAAATTCTGTCTTTTCAGGTCATCGTGCATGATGAGCGGTTTTTCGCGCTCTTCAAAAAATACGATGGATTCAAGAAAAACGAGATCAAAATGAAACGCCCGAATCAGCTAATGGAGGTGCTGGAGCTGGCCAGAGAGATCCTTGCAGAGCACATTGTGAGTTTCTAAATTTCTCAAATTTGGATGGAAATCTTCTTAAATTAAAACAAACAAAGTTGAAACAAGTAAGCCAATAAACATAAATAAATCAATAAATCAATGAATAAAATAAATAAACCCAATTTGACAAGTTCTAGCGTATGCTTCATAGGTTCAAATTTTTTGAATTTTTATTTCTTCATTTTTTACTGCGGAAAGTGTAGTCAAAGGAGATTCATTGGTGAAAAGAAAGATATATAAAACCTACTGAGAAATAATTTAATTTTTTTCCATATTTTTTATGGTCCTCTTCGTTAAGTTGGGCTATGTTCTCAGCCGATCAACTTGCCGTTAGCAACAGCGCGCTGCAGTGGTGCTCCAGCTGGCTTAAATGAGGAGGTCCTTTGGGAGAACAAGTTGGCTGTTTTTAACTAGCGAGCAGAAGCCGTCTAGACGGCTCTCGTCTCAAGAATAGTGCAAAGCTGATAGAATCCGACATGTTTTGAGAGAGATGAGTTCCTTCGACTCAAAGGCGAGACTTGACATTGAAAAAGAGCTTGAGAACATTGCACGCATCGAGCAACCATCCATACTGTTTACATAGACCCATAAACCTATAACTGCATGTTGAGGAAATGTTTGCAAGTCGTAACTTGAAACCAACATGCTTCAAATTATCGGCAGAATGTGGGTGATGGCAATTAGCACCGTTTACTGCGCACTCGGTGCGGGGAATCTTTGATTGTAGGCCGTCCAAGCCAATTAAGCCTTCCATCCATCGGATTGGTCGCTTGGTATAAAACCTGTTCGGTAAATAAAAAGCTGACATTCACTCAGCTGGCCATTGAAACCTCCCAAAGCGAAAACTTGTTCAGATGCCATTTTGATAGGAAGTAGAATACATGGCGCACCCAAAAGGGGACTCGATCAACGCCGAAGGCCTTCACCATTCATCTCCTTGTCATATCTCAATTTACCATTTATCTCTTGTAAATCTTCCCACTGCTTTTTTAGAAAGTGTTAATCCTCATTTCAGGCGTTGCGTAACTCGCTGTTGACGTCGATGGAGGCTTACGAAGACTCTGGAGAGGAAAGCCAACGCGTCGAACATGAGCTGGAAGAAGTCGAGGAGGCGATCAAACGCTGGGATCAGATGCGAGCCGTCCTTGAAATGTATGATGAACATCGTAGTGAGAGTGGAGATTATGAGGAGAGTGACACGGCGGGTACAAGTAGTTCGGCCGGTTTAGTAGAGTTTTCCAATGAGGACAGGTTAGTAATGGAGTGTCGGCTGGATTCGGCCGGTGAAGAATCGCACACCAGCGACGACAGCGATGTAGGCGAAGACGGAGGCGGAAGTGTGCCCTACAAAGTCACGGAGAGATACTCACCAATTGCGATCCAAACTGCTTGAGGGGCGGAGTTACCCACGTAGCGTGGGCGGGGCTGCTCTTAATATTGTATATAGCCTGCCATTGTGATTAGCATCACTTATTGTTTATAAACTCATATAGATATAGTTAAATCGGAGACTTGTTCCAGACGCATTACTGGTAAATGATCTATCTAGTCTAGCCTATCTGGTCCATTGTTGTTGTTGTGCCTTTAACATGTTGTGATTGATTTGCTGTTTTTTTCTGCACGCAGTTATTCTCCAATTTTCTACCATCACAAAATAAATAGTACTTAATTTTTGTAACCAACGTATAATAAAGATTTTGTAAATAGAGGTATGTACTCAGCCGTAATGGCGGCGATTTCTGAAAAACATGACAATTTTAACGGAACTTCAGGGTGAACCATGCTGATTTGTATATATGGATAAGAAATAGGAGTGAAAGAGCAGTGAGGAAGAGAGGAGAGTATATCAAAATGACGACATAGAGGTCTGATTATTGCAGGTATGGCCATTTCTCGGGCATAAATCGCAAAGTACAGCTGAAATATCTGAAGGTTCGTATGTATAAAAGCATCAGGCCGATGTCAGACTTTGCGAATCGAGCGATTCGCTAGCGTCCGCGGTCGCGTTGCGGTACCAGCCAATTGAGTGATTCACTGGCCGCGACGCGACCGCGGACGCTAGCGAATCGTTCGATTGGCTGGTGCTGCAACACGACCATGTTCGTTAGCGAGTCGCTCGTTGGCAAAGACTGACATCGTCGTCAATATAGCCTAAAATTCAAGTGAGTATAGACAAGCACGAGCACAGAGAAACAGGGATTCAGGGCGGAGACGCAGAGTAATGTCAAGATCGCCTAAATCCTCTGCGTCTTTCCCATCATCCCATCTCACGCTTCAGCTTGTCATAGTTCATTTGAATTTGAGACCCTGGTCACACTTTGAGATCTTGCAATTCTGCGGTCTTGCGATTTTATATTTTGTTCTCATGGAGTAGATGCGTATCGATCGCAGGGTCGCGTGTTTGGCACCTATTTACTCCATGCTGAATTGCTAAACGAACTGCAGAGGCGGTCGCAAAGTGTGACCTTGGCGTATCTCTACGAGCACTAATTAGGTGCTCCCGCTGCCTTCGAATATTCGTGATCTCACGTGACTTAGGCTCGTGAATTCCGTTCGGGTGAGAATGAAGAGACGCAGCAACAGGGACCAGCGTTGATGCTGATACTCAAATGGGGAGGCGAATTGACGACAGCGGGTGAGGATACAAATATTGATTGGTCAAATTTTCGGGCATGCTTGGGCCTTTTTAGTAAGATGAAAGTAGGATCCCTATTGAATCTGTAATTGACTGCCAATCGATGGAAAGTACTAGCAAAGCTGTCATGATTTGGCGCAATGTGGCTCGAAGAGGCAGTCCATAGCAGTGCCTCAGAGTTACGGAAACGCTCAATTTCAGGACAATGTCGATATCTAAGTCTAGGGGGAGGACAGCGGCTATGGGGTTCGTAAGCAGTTTTCATTCCTGAGTTCGTACTTCTCCGTTGGGCTTACAAACTTTGAGTGGCCTTCTATAAACTGCCCCAAGAAGCACATTCCGCCCACGATTCTTCTGAATTGGGAGTTAGCTAAACAATGAACCTTACCTTTTTTACCGGTCTCTGTGTGGCCCTATTAACAGCTGAATCTCAGGCTCGCCTACTTCGAGTAATTAACGAAGTCATTTCTTGAGGTATGGCTGAGAAACTATCGTATTTTAGGTAATCTTCAAGCCGAAGCGCTTGGAAAACTGTTCCGCACACTCTATCCGGGAATTCGTCGGGCCGATGGAAAAAGTTCGCCTGAGGATACACAGGTTCGTATTTGGACCGACTGAGTGAAGCTGACACAAATTCGATTATATTGGTCAAGGGTGACAAAGTAGGAAAAACTCTTGTTTTTACTGGCCGATGTTGGAGTCTCGTGCTAAATGGCCAAAAGGCTGGGCAAGTCCTGATTTTATTATAGGTAGGGCGAAAACATCTTTCGAAATTAACGACTCTTCCAAGATATTGCTTACTAGGTTCAGTTTTGTGGCCGCGTCGGAATTTTTTTCGGAAAATTTGTGAAAATGTAGCAGCGTAAACCTTCCACTTCAGACCTAAGGGGGAGGGGCGGACGGCGGAGATCTGATGACGTTCAGTATTATAACTCGGTGCGTGGGCGGCTTTACTGTGAGTATGCGTTTAAGAACCGTATTCACCTCTTTTTGGAAGCTGTATGCAAACAAATACATTGCTCTGTTGCCGCCGCTCAAGAGCACTTTATAGCATAACACGTGCGCAAGCTTCGCTCTAGCTAATTCTCCTCTAAATTAAAGAATAATCACAGGCGTAATACCAAAGATTGAGCCATTATCTCGGGTATTCCTTCCCTAAGCTCGTTGATGATGTTGAAAAAAGAGAAAAGAAAAGGTAATCAAAACTAGGGAAAACCTTCTTCATTGAATTGCGGCAGTTTACAAATTGTCTTTTCAGGGCCTCGGGTTTTTACGACTCCACTCCACCTACCGTCATGATCTCAAAATATACGCTTCTGATGAAGGTCGTGTTCAGATGACAGCTGCAGCTTTTGCAAAGGTACTGAATCTTCCTTTTCAATTTCCGTCCGTTTTTTACGAATCTATTGTATTTTCATTCTTTTTGGTTCCACATTTCTTCGAGTTGATTCGATTTTGCAGATAATATTTTCTAAGGCTTCAATATATTATTTCTATACTCGAAATAAATTTCCATGAATTACTTTTTCACGACCTGTTTTCAAGGGCATGCTTGCGCTGGAAGGAGAACTGACTCCGATTTTGATGCAAATGGTCAAGTCGGCCAACACCGATGGCCTGCTCGACGACGATTGCCATGCGAGAGATTTCCAGTCTGAGCTCAAAGGATATCTTCATCAAGCATTACAGGTGAAGGCCATTATTATGTATTGAAATGTCTTCTTATTATCCTTTGCACCTTTCCCTTCTTCTCCATTCTCTTTCTGTGATGTGTCGAAGGATGTAATATGTACGGAGTGGAAATCTTTTCATTCTTTGTCAGCACTTTGTGAAAGATCCAGGTTGGAAGGTTCACGATTTCATCACGATAATTAAGGTCGATCGAGATTGGACTCCGGAAGACTATCAAGCGCTAAATCCTGACGGTCTCAAGTCGATCAATAACGCGATGGAGTTCATTCGCAACCCCAAGAAGATGTGTCATGAAATTGCCGGCTATGTCCAACGAATGTGTGATATCATCAATCACAACAAATATACCAAGCCACGTAAGTTCTACTGTACTCATGATACTCTGCTACTTATCGCCTCTTTTCAATCCAGAAGCCTCAGGTAAAGTAGAGATTGTTCGATACAGGGGATGCGTTCTCTACAAACAACCGACATTACCTTAGAACTGGGTTGAAATGTAAGTCGATACCACCCCCTTCCTCCTCCAGTAACTCTCAAAATTTTTTCTATGTGGTATTAAACAACTAAGTAGATAGATGTGAGTGGAGCATCCGTTGATATGGTGATTCGCGTTCCTGATGAACCGCGCGAGCAGTGATTTGTTAAGGATGCTGGTCTTCGCACGCAATCCTGCATGCTCACACACCATTTTTAGAGCCTGTATATTAGTGGTCTTCGCTTCCGCAAGCGCTTTTTTGCCAAATTCGAAAGGATGTTTTAAGGACATCAAATGTCTTGATTCCATTTTTATTTGTTCCTTCTCAGATCGTACTCTCTACTTGAACGAAACGTGGGATCTCGCGGAACGACGATGGGGAAAGGAGCTGCGGGAATTCAGACGAGAGAACAAAGGTGGCGATGTGGAGTATGACATCTCAAAAATCCCAGATATCTACGATAATATAAAGGTGCGTTTCAGAACACTTAGCTCAAAATATCCCTGATATATAACACCTGCGATATTTCGACTAATTTCATGAATGAATAGGATTTCTATTTTAGTATGACATGGAACATAATCCTGATCTTTGTGTCGACAATGAAGGCGAATTCGAAAGGATGTATGTATGTGTAAAGAATATGGCTGATATTGTTGTACCGCAGGTATGCATACGTTATTCACTGCTTTGATAGTTTTCATTTTACCGCAAAGTCCAACAACGATGCAGAGCTCCTTTGTTTTGACCACCGAATTCGGTAGACAATACTTATTTTCTCTGTCATTTTCAAGGAATACGGCATTCGTAAGGAAAACAAAATATGTGTTGCTCAACGTGTTTGCACACCTTTGTTGAAGAAGATCCGTAATGATCTACATAGATGTATTGAGTGTTCTGAAGAGGACGAGAGTCAGACGAGGCTCGACCCGAGGTGCTGTTTTCATTTCCCTTTCCGTCATCTCTTTGTTTCCTATTTGATGGTTTTCCTGTTCTACTTCATATGCGGTAATTTTAGAGCTTCTGAGGGCATTGCCACTCCACTTCGTCACGTACGTACCAGGCTGTATTTCACCAGTGAAAGTCACATTCACACTCTAATGAATCTCATTCGATACGGTGGACTTTGTTCCGTGAGTCATTGCATTTCACTGGACATTCGCTTTATAGTTTTTTTTTGCATTTTATTTTCTTTTGATCTCTATTAAATCTGCGTGATTTGTGTGACGATTATCTGTTAAGCTGAATAAATTTAAGTTAGAAAAAATTTGATTTGTTGCGATAAAACTGCTCTGGGATGTGGTTCTAAATACGTTGTGCTCAGGTCGATGACAAAAAATGGCAACGTGCTATGAACTTTCTTTCTGGTGTCACTGAATTCAACTACATGACACAGGTAAGCCATTCAATCATGCTCTTTTGAATGAACACCAAAAAATTTTCAAATCTTCACTAGTGTAATATATCTTTCGAGCTGAATTTGATTTATGCGAAGAAATCTTTTTTCTCTTTTTTTCTAAAACCATTCTGGTGCTATTTTTAATAAACATAAGGACCTGATTTTCCGTAGCCTTTTTTTTGCATTTTTTCAAGTATGAATCTCAAATTAATATCCATTATATCTGAAACAATAAACTGTTTGTACTCAAGGTGGTCCTGATGGTATACGAGGATAGTCGAACTGATAGTACTGCAACTGGTACGGAGCGTTTCCATATTGAGCTCTTGTTCTCACCAGGACTGTATCCATGTTTCTTAACCGAGAAGGAGCGAATCTATGAAAATCGGCTAAAGTAAGAACACTCATCCAAACTTTTGTTTATCCTCCACAGTGAGAAGTTTAGTGAGTACTTGTAAAATTTTTAAGCAAATCTAACGGAATGACAAAGAGTCACTCACGAGAAGGGAATTGCAACGGGTCGGTCTCACCCTCATCAGCGGAGGTTGTCAAAGTGAGTAATAATCTTTTCATTGTCTTCATTATTTCGGCCCACGGGACCTATGTGAAACGTTTTGCAAAACCAACGCCTAACTTTGTTTTGCACTATCAAATCAGAGCTGATTGAGCTCATGTAAGATACAGGAACGGTAGATAAACGAGTATAAATACTGCTGCGCACCGGCATGGAAAGTATTTATGGGCATGCGTAATAGTTGAACACCATTCAAAGGCAGAGACGTGGAGCCTGCGAGGAATGAATCAACATGACGTCTATCCTTTCTTTTATGTGTTGCAGGAGAAAAACGAAGAGCCTCAGCCGATATTCATTTCTGTACCGGTGCCTGCAGACGATGTGTCCGTATCGAGTGCGAATGATGACCAGAAAGCAGCCGAAACGACTGGGTGACTTTAGATTGCATAATGACTGAATACGGCTGATTTTTTTTGTTTAGCTAGTAGTTGAATTATTACCATATGACTAATTGTAAGAGAGCAATTTGCTTGTCTGTTTTAGAAATGAAGACTAGTGAGTGATTTTTCAACTGGTTTACTTATCAGTTATGCTTTAGGTTGGTAAGCTCTTCGTCGAAAATGCATCAGCCCGATTCTGAGGACGATCTCAACGACGCGCATTCAGTGAATCTAGTCGCACTGGACGAAGTGAACACGAAGCAGTACCGTTAGCAAATTTTTCCTTTACTTTCTAGTGCATTTTCTATTCACTTTTTTGAGTCTCCTTTTCTCCATTCTTTCTTCCATCGTTTACTCCACTCGAAATGCATGGCACGGCGTGGTATCAGATTTTTGCTCGTTCCATTT